AGAAACCACTGTAAAATCAATAAAAATTCAAACTTCGCGCTCTTTTACCGGCAGTTGGCCTACAAAACTCACACCTGGTCGCTAGGCCACCAGATACAACTTTGACTTTTCGATACCGTTCTTTCTCAATGAAGGAATTTTTTTGAATTTTTCTTAATTTTTATGTGAATCTACATGGATTTCTGCACAAAATAAAGCAATAAAATTTTTCACCGCACACCACCTTTAAATTTGCAAATATTTATAAAATCAATGAGAATGTTACAATTAGGAAAGTTTCAGAACTAAAAAAGTATTCAATCTACATTGATTCCGTCATCAGACATCGTTTGGTTTTTTCCAATCTATGGAAATCTGTGACGTAGTCACTTACGACCTTTAAAAGTTTTTTTTCACACACATAACCGTCCGTGAAGGTCAAAAAAGTAAACACTTTCGAAATTCAAAAATCTAGATTTGTTTGATCCAATACGCACACCAAGAGGTTCCGTTGACCCCCGATGCGCAAATTCTGCCTTATACCAAATCATCATTTTTGATCTGGGTTGAATGATCACGAAGAGAATCGCAGACAAACCTTGTACTGATAAATTCTGAAAGATTTGTTTTCAGAATTGTTTCGGAGATGATGGATCGAAATGACAAGTCAACTGGATTTCTGTCGAAAATTGGAGCATTGACAACTGATAAAAGAACTGAATGGAGTATCAACCGACAGAAGTTTTTCTTGGAGAACAAGAACAATAAAAAGCTTCTAGAAGTGATTGAGACAGCACAATTTGTGACTTCAGTGGACGATTCTGTTGAATGGGGAGTGGAAACCACGGAACAAGCATCTCAATACATGAAGGATATGATCACAGGAGATGGTACCAATCGATGGTTCGATAAAACAATGAACTATGCAGTTTGCGCCAATGGAAGGGGCGGAGCAACTGGAGAACACTCGCCATGTGATGGAGCAGAGTTGGATCATTTGTGCGAGAACTTTTTGAATATAGACAAACAGATTCTGAAGTCACCAAGTAAAAAACAACAGTTAGAGAATGCGAAAATTACGGAAAAGGACAAAAAAGAACTGAAAATGGCTGAGAAGTTGGAGTTTGAAGTGGTAAATGGAATGAAGGAGGAAGTTGAAAGATGCTATGATTCGCACATGAAAGCTACGGATGATCTTCACATGCATTCAATGATATTTTTGGATTTCGGGAAAGGGAGACTAAAGAAATGCGGAATTTCTCCAGATGGGTTTGTGCAGATGGCAATACAATTGGCTTATTACAAAGTAACTTTTTCCAAAAATTCGAACTGAAATTCACTACTACATTTTTCAGGATCAAGGTATATTCACACAGACCTACGAACCTGGATCAGTAAGATTCTATGCCAATTCAAGAACCGAAACTCTACGTCCAGTCACTGAAGCCTCTTGCGATTTTGTCAAATCAGTTATGGATGAGAAATCAACAGTAATTCGATTTCGTTTTCATAAATTTCAGTGTAATTTTTTCCAGAGGGAAATCCGCAGAAAACTATTAAAAAACGCATGTGAAGTTCATGTCAACAATTGCAAGGAGATTATGTTGGGCAATGGAGTAGACCGACATCTTTTCATTCTTTGTGTTATAGCAAAAGGGTTGGGTTATTCCAGTCCTTTCTTAGACTTCTATGCAAGTCAGAAATGGTTGCTCAGTACTAGTAATGTAAGCTGTTCAGTGTTTTTCAAACCAAATTAATGTACTGAAGTTCAGATTCCCAACATGACCAATTCCATCGACGAGGATTCTTCTGTTGACAAAATCATGCTCGGAGGTTCTTTCGGAGCTGTAGCCCAGGATGGATATGGAATCTGCTACCGATTTGGAGGAAACCAAGCAATTCTAGTTCATGTCACCTCTTATCATAGTTCGGAGATCACGAATTCTGATCGAATCGGGGCACATTTGAAAGAAGCTTTTCATACTTTGGCTGACTTGTTTGAAGACTAAATATTTTTGTTGTGCAATGAAGTAGTTTTTTCTTCCAAAATGAAGAAGTAGAGAAAAACAAAAAGTAACGGGTTTTGAAAGAAAACCTTTTGTTTGAATGATCTGCACTTTTTTAGAATTCCTACAACATGTTGTGTGGTTTGTTGTCGCGAAAACAAGAAAGGGATTCTCGTTCTTTGTCGACTCCTGATTCTGGCTACACGCTTCCTTATCAAATTGCATCCATCATTAGTTGTTCATACACCTCGTTGCCAAATGATTTTATTTCTTTTATTCGGTTTTTCAAGATGATACGATACATTATTTTGTAGCCAAGTGTAGCTTGTGTTTAAGTATTTTCAGGGATAGGAATATTTGATTTCTGACTTAAAAAACCAAACTTTCATTTTCGAATCGAAATTTTTTGACTGGACTGCACAGCAGGAGGTGTTGCAATGTAATCTTTTTCCGAACTAATCCCTGCTGTTGAAAGCCTTATCTATTTCATATTAATGGTGGTTCCAATTCTGTCTTTCCTTTCAGTTCTCATTTTTCAATTCCCAGACTTTCACTTGACCGAAAAATTGAAAGCAGTTTTTATTCTTTGTTTCAACACTCTCACTTTGTTGGTTCTTTGCCCCATTCTCAAACTTTATTAATAGTTTTTCCAGTTCGATTTAAAAGTCTGCCCGTGAAAGAATTTACAATTTCCAAACTTTTGTTATAATCGAAAAATGAAGCAGAAACGGTTTCCTTTCGCTTTTAATTATTCTGTTCTAAAACAAAAAATCACCCGTATTTCATTTTGTGTTCTCTGACATTTATGACTACTCCCGAATAGTAAAACCAAAACTCGCTATCACTTCTCCACGTTTTTCCATAAGACGAGACAAATTATCAGTTTGTCTTGTCAATGTTTCGACATACTTTGTTTATTTCAGCGATGCTTCTTTAATTCTGAGCATTTTTTTTGTTTAATTCCATCTTACAGAAATGGCCTCACTGAACGATTTTGCTGGAAAATGGAAACTGGTCCACTCGGAAAACTTTGACGAGTACATGAAAGAAATCGGTGTCGGCTTGATCACTAGAAAAGCTGCTGCTCATTTGAAACCAACTCTTGAGATCTACTTGGAAGGTGACACTTGGCATATCAACCAATACTCAACTTTCAAGAATACCAAATTGGCCTTCAAGTTGGGAGTGGTAAGTGTTTTCGTTTCGCAGCAATATTAATAGAGTGGAGTTAACTGACAAGTGATAAGAGAGTGTAGTTTGTGATTTGCTCCCGGAGACCAATCATTAGTTTCCAGGAATTCGTCGAAAACAGTCCTGACGATCGTACCTACAACTCTGTGCTCACTTTTGAAAATGGAAAATTGGTCCATCGACAGAACAAGATCAAGGAGAGCCACAAGAGTTCGGTTTTGTTGAGCTGGCTGGAAAATGGAAAATTGATTCAAACCTATCAATCTGGAGATGTTATTTGCCGTCGCGAGTTTGAAAGAGAATAATGGAAATGTTAGAACTTTGATTTCATAAGATTTTATAAAATGTTTGAATAAAGTTATTCGAATACACCAGTCGATTTCTCAGCTACAATCTTTTGGCTTGTTTTAAAACGTTCGATATTTTTCATAGTCAGTTTTTCCACATATTGTTTTATTATTTCTGTTAGGTCACGCGGATCCAGGTCATCCGGATCCAGGTCACCCGGACCCAGGTCACGCGGATCCAGGTCACCCGGATCCTGGTCACCAGGATCCAGGTCACCCGGATCTAGGTTACCCGGATCTAGGTCAATCGGTCAGGGTCACCCGGATCCAGGTCACCCGGATCCAGGTCACCGGATCCAGGTAACCCGGACTCAGGCCACCCGGACTCAGGTCACTCGGACCCAGGTCACCCGGATCCAAGACCCAGGACCTAGGACCCAGGATCCCCGGGTCACCTTCTCTAGAGCCCAGAGAAGGTGAGAACTGATTCTTCCTTTTATTTCCTTCTTTTTTATATAACTCTCCCAGAGGTCAATGGTTTCTAAACCGATTCGCGTAGTCGTTTTTTTTTCTAGAATTTTAAATTTCTTTAGAAGCATTTTTTTGGTGGGGTCTCTTTTTTAATTTTTTTTATCACGTTTAAATACACTTGAATTTTCACTTTTGAAATCTGTGAAACTCCTTTAAAAGATCGTTCCTTTGAACCTAATTATCTTGTTTCCTGTTTGAGATATTAAAACATTGTCAACTGATGGAATGTTTTTGATATCAAGAAAAACATTTGTACAACGCTTACTGTCCATGTTATATAATTGAATTGCACTAGTTCTGACGGTTGAAAGATGGCGAGGATAGATCAAAAAGATTTTGCAGTGTAATTAATTTAGAAAAAAAAATGGTTGTCTACTTTGATCCAATTTATCTGGGTT